AATTTAGTCTATAAATATTAATTACTATTTTTTACATATAATAAACATAAATTAAAACAGTTTACTTAATTAAATAAATTAAATTAAATGCATAAAAATATACCAGCTTTCAGATTTTTTCGAGGGTTTTTCCTTTTTAAACACATTTAATTATATTAAGTTATATTTAATTATTTATAAAGTTATAGGTACAGTGGCGGACACGTAATTTTAAACGACTATTCCGTTAACATTAAAATCTAAACTTTCTTTATGGACAACAAAGCGAAAAAATAATGGTCAATATTGTATCTTTGCTATTTACAGATTTATACATGGACAACCAAATTATGACATTCAAAATTTACCGCCTAGGTCTACAATATGCTTTTTTCAAGCGTACAATAATAATAATAATTATTATTATTATTTTAATTTGCTTCCAACAGGCACCAGGAGTAAACACTGCTAAGACAAATACAAATAAACAGCCATACCCCTGGTGGGATTCTAACCCAAGAAATAATTTAATTACATGCTTAAAAAAAAGTGTACCCTGTTATAAAAATCAGATTTGTTACTATAAGTTTGTAGTTTGTTAATATTATTTTGTAAAATTTTGACATAATTTTTTGTAGAAAACTGGGGTTTGTAAATATTTTAACGAAAGTGTTCTAAAGGTAATATCTAATTTTGTAAGCATTTCAAAGTACAGATTATTTTGTTAATGATTAACAAATTATTTCGTTGAAAAAGTACATGTGATTTCAGGCAGTCAATCAAAACATTTCTCACTGACAAAACGCATCAACAAGTTCAACTGACCACAGCGTCTCCAACTTATGGTTCTGCTAACTTTATTCTAATTCGTAACGTGTTCAGAGTGTTTATAATATATTACCAGAAATCTGTTAATCCTATTGTTATTCGGATTCCTTATCCCTATTTAACGAATGTGCGAAGTGCAAAGTATCCGAAAAAAGATGACATTACTGGTTTAAAACTGAATTTAGAGGATAAAGTGGGTTAAAGTTACGAAAAACATCAGTAAGTGTTGTAGTAGTACTGTTAATTATATTGTACCAAATTTCTTTATATTTTGATGATTTTAGAATGGTGCTTTATTTAATTTTGTGTAAGTATGTTATTTTTGTGTTCACTTATGTAGGTATGTGTTAATTTTTTTGTTTAGGAAATTATTTAATAAAGCAACATTTCTTATCAAAATTCACTAATTGAATAAGTAGTTTGTAATCATAACAAACATTTTATAGATTTAATAACAAAATTCTATATCAATAATTCAACCATAATTCTTGTAATTTTCAAAAGAGACCCTATTTTTACAAACCTTTTTGTAGAAACAAAAAGAATTTTGACAAGAAATGTTGTTTTATTAATCAATTTTCTTAACAAAACCTACAAAATAAACACGATTAAATAACAGACCATTCTGAAAACATCAAATTATAAATTATTTGGTACAATATAATTATAATAATAATAATAATAACTGATATATCAGTACTACTACAACACTAACTAATGTATTTCGCAACGCACTTCACAGTATCTCCTAATTTTATTTTGAAAACCAGTGGCAGTGGCATCTTTTTTCAGATACTTCGCAATTCGCACTTTCGTTAAATAGGTATAATGAAACAGAATATTAATAATAATAATAATAACAGATAACAAATTTCTGGTAATATATCATAAACACTCTGGACGCTACGAATTAAAACAAAGTAAGCAGAAAGATAAGTTGCAGACGCTGAAGTCAGTTGAATTTGTTCATGCGTATTGTCAGTGCGTTAAGGAATATTTATAATATTTATTTACCCTGAGGTTATTGAGCAGTATAATTATTTTTCGCAGGGTTGAAAAATTGAATTTTATGTTCTTTGTTTTTTTAAATAAAATTTACAGATTGGATGTTCTAATATAAACATACATCTGACAACCATATTAACTTCAACCAAGTAAAAAATATTTTTTCTACTCCCACCTTTAAAACGCCCTTTATCGCACATGTTTCCATTACACTAAGTGACCTTTTAAATACACATTGACAAGTTGTGGCTTTATGGCGCTTTAGTCACGGGCTGAAAACAGCAACAGGATTTTAGTCACGGGCTGAAGTTAGTTTTAAGTTAGTTGACAGTTGTCAAATCTCATACAATCGTTAAAATAAAGTGCCTTTCTTGTAAAATAATACTAAATGTGAAAACTATTTTATTATTTCAATACAAAAATACAAAAATATTAAATAGTTTCTCAACGCCAAAATTTGAAAAGTTTATATGAACATTTTACTGACCTTTTAATTTCGCCGGCAGTAAACTATAACTTAAATTCGGGCACGGACTCCACTGTAAAGTGCTCATAAAACATTTTCTTTACTTTCACTGTAAAAAACTGTCAATTTTCAAGAAATACATTTCGATTTATAACCTTTATAATTGTGTTTATAAAATGTAAAAATGTGACATTTGACGGTGACACACAGTTTCCCCTATTGCTTTACTTCATAAAAGAATAATAAACAAAAATAAAATATAAAATATAAAGATAGAACAAAAATACAAAATAAAAATAAATTTGATTTTAAATTTTGTTGTATCTTAACGAATTTTAAATAAAAAAGCATGTCTTCACAACTTTATTCTTACACAATATATTTAGTAAACAATATAAAACGAAAAACCAAATAAAGAACGTTTTTTTTCTTTACTCCAGCTTCAATATTTTTTCTTATGTATCTAATCTTTAAATTCATAAAACATGATTTTGATAAATTGCTTATCAGCGTCTGGAATTAATTTAAATAATTGGTATAAATAAACCTTATCTTCGGCGAGTAAACATTTTTTTACCACCGGACACGGTCTCACATCGGACAACTTAAAAAATCCTTTGTGGCTTTTTACTTATTTAGAACATTTTTCATCATATTTCCTTGATTTTTTTTTGCTATTAGCATGAAATTAGGACACAAAAGAGATCTCATGTATCGCAGAAATTACAGTATTAAACTGAAAGTTATAGAATTATAATGTTCTATCTGCAAAATTCCGACAATCCCATTGGCGGAGCAGATAGAACATTATAATGATTTGGTATTCCTGAAAATAAAATATAGAACAATTTTTAAATGCATTTTGTAGCTTAAAGAGTAATAAAAATTGTTTTAAGTCAGTGTAGATATAACCATATTCATTAAAATATTTTTTCTACGCTTATTACGGAATTTGACAGTTCTTATATGACTTTTTAATCTGGAATTACGTATATTCCATAAAGTGTTACAGAATAATTATTCCGCACAGGTTTTAATGATGGAATGAGCACTGGGGGCGACATCTCTATGTTTATTTTATAACTCACTTGTATTCCTACCAAATCTAGTTTTTTCAGAAAGGCCCGGTAGAAAATATTAATCGGTAGTATACAATAGGATTTAAAACAGTTTGCGTTAATAAAAATACCCAATGTATATCTTCTTTTCAAGCTAGTTGTAATTCTGTTTGGCCGATTTAGTAGGATTCTATTAGAATATTTAGGTTTGACTTAGTCCCAAAGAGATGGCAGCACTGGTTAATTGTTTACGTCTGTCATTAGTTAATTCAAAATTTGAAATTCAAATAATAACTTATTTGTCATTCCTTACAATTTGTCCATTTCTTCTTTATACTTTCTAATTTAGGTTCTGCAAAATTATGTAAGTAATTTTTATAAGCTTATTTAAAAATTATCTTATTTACTACCATCATAAAATCTAACATCTGTCAAAAGATAACCTAACTTTTTTCCAATTAAATTATTTCTCTGGTATTTTTTATAAGCGTAGAAAAAGTATAGTCTGAAACACGTTTGGAATTGCATATTCCGCTCTCGTGAAACCGTCACACTCGCCTTCGGCTCGTGTGACAAACTTTTCACTCGAGCGGAATATGCTGTATTCCAAACTTGTTACAGAATATACTATTAACCAAGCTAAAATCCGAGATTTGGAAAAAAGTGCAGTTAGAACAATATAATTCTCGCCTCGCAAAATGTTATACAATCGTAAAAATAAGGTGACTTTTTTGTAAAATAATACTAAATGTAAAAATTATTGTATTATTTTAATACAAAAATACAAAAGTATTAAATAGTTTCTTGACGCCAATATTTGAAAAGATTTTATGAACGTTTGATTTCGCCGTTCTAGTGCAGTTAACTAGATTTAACTAATAAAGCGTTAAAAAGTTTGCGTACAGTGCCCATAAAACATTCTTTTTTCTTTTACTTTCAAAAACTGCTTCTATATCGATTGTTAGTTTATTTTCAAGGACTAAATTTTGATTTATACAGAAAACTTTAAGATTTTAACCCCGGTAGATTCCCAAGTTAGAAATTCTAACGGGAATTCCAATAATTACAACTGTCACTTTTTGTACCCTTAAGATTTACCGTGTAAGAGTTTTTAATACTTTGTGATAATATTTTGCAATTATAGTAATAAAAAAATCAAAGGGTCAAATATTTTCTTAACATACCTAATCATATTTTGAAGTTATTTTAATATTTTACAGTTTCAATTATTGTACAGTTTAATTAAAATAATAACGGGCAATGTTAATGGTGAAAATGAAGTCAACAATGTTTATTGGGATGGTTACTTTATTTTCGTATGGATGTCGCCTTATAAAAATATTTAATTTAAATAATTTTTTAGATTGATAGATAGATAGATGATAGACTCGTTTATAAACTTTTCTAGGCACTTATTTAATTAAGCACTCGCTCGCAAGCTCGCTCGTGCCTAAATTAAATTCCTGACTGGTGTTTATCAAACTTGATACATTATATATAAATTGTTATAAATATGAAAACGTTTTAATAATGCCTGATCGCAACGAAATAAAAATAATATAAATTATTCTTAAACGAGTTTATACAAAAAAGAAAACATTTTCTTTAATCAAAATAAAACCTTTGTAGATAAGTTTAGCGTGTTAATAAGCTCTTAAACTTACGACTGCACTCCTGTCTGAAGTCCATCTCCTCTTCCGTGAAGTTTCTCGTGGAGTTCGGCGCCGTCGCTAAGGAGTTCCGTTGTTCGGTCAACTTGCACGTAAACCGCGTCTCCCAGAACTCCCTGAACCACGGATTCCGTTTGTTCGTGTCGGGATCTAAGGACCAATAGTAATCGTCGAAAGACTTGACGTGCGGCGAGTGAATTCTGATGGAGATGCCGCCCCAGGCCTCCTCTTCGTATCCGCGCGTCACGTCGCCTCTGTCCGCCCAACCGTCACTAAACAAAAAAAATATTTTACAATTTTTTGTAATACAAAATTATAATAATATTTATTGAAGACATTCTTCAAACATTTTGGTAAATGGTGGTTTCATTTAAATGGTACACCCCTTTAAGAAAGTTGCAAACAACGGTAAGAATAATTCGTAAAAAAGCCGCAGTTAAAAGTTTCTTAGAAAGGTTTAGAAATCCTCAACATGTGCAAAATAAGTTAATTTTAATCTTTGCTAGGCTCACTGGATTATGGGGTTCGCTCCTGCGTCGCTCACCCCTCAAACTTCCAGCTCGCCCGTAAAGATTCATTTACAAAGCTTGACACGTAAATAACTATTACATCCGGTTTCCCTAAGCCGCCACACTTTTTTAAACAAACAATTTTAAATCTAAATGAATAGTGTTAAAAAGTATAATAAAATTAATGTAATTGAAACCATCACGAATTGATTCAGTTTAAAACTAAACCTAGAAATAGAGATTATAGAAATCCGATTGTATCTTAATATTTTCTATTAAAAAGCAACGCGACCTTTAAATCGCCATTCTTTATCTAGATCTTATCGGGCTTTTCAAATCGTTCGCAGATATCCGTTCCAAGTTTTAGTCAGTATTCGCCAGCTTCAATTGATTAACGTTGCATCGCTAGTTACGATAGCGACGACGCTTCTTTCGTTTATCGCAGCTCCAACATATTTTGAATATTTCCCGCCACATTCGAAGTGATATCCCACTGAGAGCGTATTGGGCTCAAATTGATATCCCATTGATTGTGTGTTGTGGAAACATATGAATGCCCCAATGCATGATATCACGATGTCACGACGGGATTTCGGAGTGATTTCAATACGCAATCACAAATGTTTACGGGATAAACTTATAAATGTTAACCTTGACTAAAAATTCTAGTTCGAATAAAAAAAACTGGTAAGAAAAAAATTAAAAAAAAAAAATCTATTTTGACTAATCTCGATCAATACTACAATACTATTTGGGTCGCTTTTTGACTACAATTTTTTTTTGCGTGGCTGTGTAATTCATGATTAAAACTGTAATTAGACTTGGTAAATTTTTGACTCGTAAAATTAATTATGACATGATAGAGATAAGCTCGTGGTAGACAGTGCACTGTCTACGACGAGCTTATCTCTAGTGGTAATTAGAATTAATATTTATGTTTATATCTAATTGCTTAAGTTTAAAATTAATCTATTAATTAACGTACAAGTTGCAAACCCGATATTCATATTAGCAAATTAGTTTAATATATAGGTATATATATTAGGGTGAGCCAAAAAAACTAACCTATCGGATTTATGGGTTAAAATGAACCTACATACCGAGCAAAAAATTAAACTGCAGTTTTAGTGATTTTTTACACTTTTCAAAGCTTTCAAACATACGAATTTTTGAATTAAAAAAAATAATCCTGGTATAGATTCTTTGGGAAATTTTATGCTCTACAAGAATCCGCGACGTAAAAAATTTTATCTCAAACGGTTCAAAAGTTATAGTCTTTTTAATGAAAAAAGATTTTTTTACGTGTTATTTCAATGGAAAACTTAAAATGCTCACCGACACCTTTTAAAATTGAGCAAAAAATTTTGCCTTGCAGGGAAATTTTTTGCTCGGTATGTAGGTTCATTTTAACCCATAAATCCGATAGGTTAGTTTTTTTGGCTCACCCTAATATATATATATATATATATATATATATATATTTTAATATAAATAAGAAAAACCTTTAACATTTTGTTTAAGTAATATTCTTGCAAATATAATTATAATATTTGTAAATACTCTGAATTTATTCAAGGATTTACCAATATCATAGCATTGGTCATTGTTAATATTTGCCAAAGTCCTATATTTTACATTTATAGGAAAAACTTTTTCAAAGATAAAAGGGCAGTTCTTGGCCAAGTTTTAACCTGATATGATTCTCTGGGTACTTCCTGCAGAACTCTGCATTAAAAAAAATGCACCTATTTTATTAAACCAGGATACAAGCGTTACCGAAGAAGTAGTTGATTAAAGATAAAACAAGAAGAAAATCCTATTTTCATAAAATATGTCCTGTTCATTCAGCAAATTTATCCCGCAATGTTGTGCGATATCTTAGGAACTTTCTTTTTTTGGCATTGTAAAATCGGCATTTATTTACTTAGAAGTGTACATAGGTACCACTGCACAGTGCTAGCTAGCTAGACAAAACCTAATTTAAAAACAACCTGAAATAAAGAAAAATTTAATTAAATAAGCTTCTTTAGTTTTCCCTGTTATGATTTCCATTACTTAAAACGTACGGCAACAGTGTATTCAGCTTTATGCACGCGCCAATTAGGGGCGTATCATTGTTTATAAACATACTTAGCCGTGTATGCGTTGCAGAAAGGTGGTGTGATTTTGACAGTGTGTCAAGTTAAATCAAATTTTGAACTGTGGCGCTATGGATCTAGGTATAAACTACTTAATTTTTATTATTAGGGATTTATAATATCGGTAATCATCAACAGGCTGCAGATATAGAAATTCACTTGGTGTTGTTGAATATGGACAATATTTATTGAGCAATAAGTATTGTAATCTAGCAATATCGGGTGCACTTTCAATATTTGTTTTGTTTTATAACGTTTACAGATTACTCATGTGCCTTCATTTATTGCCCCAATTTGCCTCTTCTACCGAGTTTAACCGAAAACCGGCTCACTCCTTTTTTACTAGCAAATTTTGGAATAGGGTTGCAATTTGGGAGTAATAATAAAGAGTTAATTTATAATTATTTCAACCTTCAATGGACACCACATAACTTCCGGTTTTCCCGGAAATAATGCCAACTTTCGTTTTTTCAATGAATCACGCATATTTTTGTCGCAAATGTGCATCGTATTCAAAATTTTCTCCCGATTTTAAATATACAAAAATATATAGGGTGTTTCTTTGGAAAAAGTCAAGTTGACCAATTTCCAGCGAAACCGAAAGTTTATTTTTTATTGTTACCTTTAAATTTTAACCCTATATATATATTTTTAGGCACAACTATTTCTCGCTTGGTTCTCTTTGAAATATGGCACAAGAATGAAAATCCCCTATGCCTTTTTATTTTGGATAAATTACACATAAGTGCAAAAAATGATGAACTCATTGTTTCTGTTAAGCAAAGTAAATCGACGTTTGAAAATGAAATAAAAAAAAGATGGAAAGAAAGTAATAGGACACAACACAGAATTCTTAAAAAAAATTCCGCCTGGTTGCAAGGAAATTTTAGGATTCCAGATAGCATTATTCGCCATTTTACCGCTGTTCCATTAACTTCAACATCTGGCGGACGTCCCCAAAAATGTTTTGAGATGAGTTGCCATAAGAGCAAACTTCGAAAAATTCAACCGTTGCTGGAATCTCACTCAAATAACCAATTAGCATTTGCAACTGAAGTGAGCTTACGTTCAGCTGGTAAAAGAGATGCAGCTCAACTTGTAAAAGCGGCAACTGAAACGCCAGATGAGGCTACCAAAATTAAAAAAGCTTTTTTGTTCCCTACAGAACCACATGCAGTGTTTAGTTCAGAAGAAGCACTAGAGTTAATGGTAGACGCTCAACTGACTGTAGAACAATACAAAACAATTTACCGTAAAGCGAAAGCCAAAAATTGCAACTTGTTTCCTGCATATCATGTTGTACAAAAAGAAAAATTAGAGTGTTATGTTTCCAAAACAGCAACTTATATTACTGAAGTATCTGCAGAGGTAAAGTTGCAAGCGCTTGTGGATCACACAATTTCACGAATTTCCAAGGTTCAAAATGAGCCTCTTGGTCGAGTAGCAAATCAGGAAGAATTAACAATGATTTTCAAATGGGGATGTGATGGAGCGTCAGGACAAAGTTCTTACAAGCAATCATTTGGCGACAGCTCTCCACAAAATGCTAATGATTCTAATCTGTTCGTTATCTTATTGGTACCTCTTCAATTATTTAGTAAGAATTCGCAATCGTTAAAAAAACAGTTGTATGGCAAAACCCCAAAACCCCCGTCTACCAGATTTTGTCGACCGATCAAGCTTCTATTTGAAAAGGAGACAACGGAAATGTCAAAACGAGAAATAGGTTTAATTGAGAGGCAAATTGAAAATCTCCGCCCTACATCAATATATATTAATAAAACAGAAAGGCTATTTAAGCAAAAATTGGTCATGACTATGGTTGATAGTAAGATCTGCAACGCCATCACTGAAACTTCCTCTTCAACATGCTACATTTGCGGGTCAACTCCAAAGGAGATGAATAATTTAGAAAACCAAAAAATTGTAAAAAATCCAAAATATTATTGTTTTGGATTATCAAGCCTCCATGCTTGGATTAGATGTTTGGAATGTTTGTTACACATTTCTTACCGATTGGATATTAAGAAATGGCAAATCAAGAAAGAGGATAAAGCCAAATGTGATAAAAGAAAACAAAACATTCAAGACAAATTTAAAACCATGATGGGAATTTTGGTAGATATACCAAAACCTGGAGGAAGTGGAAATTCCAGCCAGACGTTTCTTTGCAAATCCTGCTCTTGTTTCAGAAATAACAAGAGTAAGCGAAACCCTAATCAAAAGAATTGATACGATTTTGCGCACGATTTCAAGTGGATATGCTGTAAATACCTCGGCTTTTAATGATTATGCAATGGAAACAGCAAAATTATATATATCCCTATATTCATGGTATTATATGCCTGCAAGTGTTCGCAAGCTTTTGATACACGGTGCAGAAATAATTAAACATGCAATTTTACCAATCGGTCAACTCTCGGAAGAAGCACAGGAGGCTCGAACCAAAGATTGTAAAAGATATCGGAAGAATAATACCAGGAAAACATCCAGAGAGGATACCATGGAAGATCTCTTGCATATTCTTTTGGTTTCTTCCGACCCAGTTATTTCCAGTCTCAAGTCATTTCAACACAAGAGTGTGGGTGGTAAGAGCTTTCCCCCAGAAGTGATTCAATTACTCGC